GGGCCGAGGCTGGAGTCATTGCAATCACCTGGTGCACCTGCCTCGGTCTCACCTGCACAGGGCCTGGTTCAATTGATGTGGCCTGTAACCCGAGCACCCGGATGTCTGTAAACTCCTCGGGAGCTACCGATGCACAGCGAAGGCTGAGAACTATCGGTTTCCTACTTGCCAGAGAGAACTCACCCCGTCCCACCCTACCTAGCTCAGGTGGAACAATTTGCAGCAAAATATAAAGAATTTTAATTAGCTCGATAATGGCAGAAACTGAAATTCGATTCCAAGTTTCCTGACTTCCACACGCACTATTTTGCTTCACAGCCAAGATACTTACACGTCAAGTTCTCTTGCCAGGTTGATAAGCAAGATGTGACCGGGAAAACGGGGAAGACTCCAGAGACACCTATGAAGGTTCCTTTATGACATTATTTCATGTCGTTTTTATTTCAAGGACCTTCCCTTTGCATCATTCACTGTGATTTTCAAGGTAGCTTCACTCAGCTGTCAGTGGTAGTCATTGCAGGACACCTGCTTGGGTTCTGTTCCTGTGACTCCTGGTTATCAGTGTCCAGAGACTGGGGAAGAGGCTTACATTCGAGTCAGAAGTAAGCACAGGGGATGGGAAAGTGTTCACTTCGCTCCACCTTTTTTAAAGGAAATCCAGCAGAATAAATGATTGTGTAAGAGGTTCGAGGATGGGGAAATCAGGAAAATGGCGTTCTTTTAGTATTACATAGCACAAGGCATCTGTGTGACTCTGTAATGCAGAAAGAAAGGACTCAGATCTCTGTTGCCTTTTTGTCTACATTTCGATGTAATATGTATGTCTAAGACACAGACATCCTCCCAGTTGGCTCTGTTATTCTTGTGGAAGCAACAGGATACATGGTTACATTAAACAGCATTAGTTACACCATTAATGGAGATGTTACGTTTTTATTATAATAATAGTAATACAGTCTTATTTTTTAAATACTTTAATGCACCCACAGGCTTGCTTCCATGATCAAGTGCTCTTCTGTTTGAAAATAGGGAGCAACAGGAAGAATTGGAAGCATCAGGGAGAACCAGATGGACAGGAAAGCAGTTTATAAGATTGAATCCAAGAAGCAGGAGCCCTGCCCCTCCCCGCAAGGGAAGCCGCCCTGGTAGCAGCAGTAACTGCCATGGTGATGATGAGGATGACGATGACAATGATAATGACAGTGATAGCACCAAGCCATTATTTAATCCTTTACGGTTTTAAGCACACTTCATGCATGTTATTTTATCCTCACAGGTGCTGTGACTTTCCAGATAAGGAAACTGAGGCCAAGAGGCAGTTAAAAGCAACCTTCCCAGGGGCGCTTCGGTGGCTAAGTCAGTTGAGCGTCCAACTTTGGCTCAGGTCATGGTCTCAATGATTCGTGAGCTCGAGTCCTGCATGGGGCTCTCTGCTGTCAGCACACAGCCCACTTTGGATCCTCTGTCCCCTCCATCCTCTCGCTGCCCCAACCCAGCTCACACTCTCTCTGTTTCCCTCTCTCTCTCTCTCTCTCTCTCTCTCAAAAATAAACATTTTTTTTTTAAAATGTGGCTTGCCCAAAACCACACAGGAGGTGTGAGGGCACTTCTGACTTCCATGACACAAGTGCAAAGGTCGTCTTCCTGTTCTCAGGCTTCTTATCACTCCTTTTACTTTGTAATGTATCTCCACAACCCAGATGCAAAGTTAACGGGGCTAAGGTTGACTTCTGTAAATCCTCAGCAGTGCTGTTACTTTTCCATTATTTTTTAGTTACGAGATTTTTATTTTTGTCATGGGAATATCGAAGAAGGCAAAAGCAAAGTATGTTGTTTCACCTCTCACGTAGAGCTTAGAACACCAGCCAACAGGTTTGCCAGGAAGTCACTATTGGAACAAATCTGGAACCATAACCGTCAGCAAGGGACGCAGCCCATCAGGTGATTCCCCAAGCAGAAGAAGACAGCTACTGCAGCCACTAAAATACCACTGCGGCAAGTCTGAGCAGGCCGTCCCTTCCTCATTATGCCTCGGATGCGCCTGATATTCCACTTGGTGTGACGGGTGTCTCTGTACGCCTTCTTTTCCCTGCAGTATTATCAGTTTCTTGAAGGCAAAGCCAAATGTTTTGGGGTTGCCTCCTCCTCTCCAACAATTCTCCCTAATCCCTGCACTTCCAAATGTTTATATCATCACCACCATTTATCAGACATGCCTTTGGTGTTCACCTTAAACAGATTTTGCCTGTATTAAACTGATAGGAAAGGGGAGAAAGAAGTTTCTTTGCTCTAATTTGTACCGGGCCCCACATGCTGAGGAATGGCCTTCCTTTAATCCCTACAATATTCTTGTAGTGATGCTTTCCCCAATTGTATCACATCTTTTTTTTTAATGTTTATTTATCTTTAGAGACAGAGAGCAGGGAGGAGCAGAGAGAGAGGGAGAGAGAGAATCCCAAGCAGGCTCCTCACGGTCAACACAGGGCCTGACGCAGGGCTCGATCCCATGAACTGTGAGATCATGACCTGAGCTGAAATCAAGAGTTAGATGCTTAACCGACTGAGCCACCCAGGCGTCCCTCCCAACTATATCACATCTTCATTGCCCATGGGAGAGAGTTAAATAATGTTTAAAAACAGATGAGAAAACAGTTTGTTTCTGGTATGAATCTTTGACCTAAGAAATGGGATGCTTTGGTAGATAAATGGCCAGCCTCCCACCAAGAAAACCTTTGACAAATGACCTCCCTCCACTGGGCACTCTCCCCCACAGCAGTGCTTTATAGTGGACACTATTCTTTGTAGAGACAGAAATGCTGCTCATAAGAAATTATTATATATTATTTGAGATTATTGCCTACTCAGCATTTCTACCAGAAAAGCACAGGGAAAAGTGTTCTTTGAGAAAGAAGCTCTCGAAGGAGGCATTTAAATTGGGTCAGCAAACTACCGCCCATGGAGCAAATCTTGCCTACCATGTGTTTTTATAAAGTTTTACTGGAACACAGCTACATCCATTTGTTTACAGATTTTCTTCGGCTGCTTTCACACTGCAACAGCAGAGCTGAATCGCTGCAAAAGAGACCGTCTGACCAACAGTGTCCGAACTATTACCCATCTGGCCTTTTATGGAAAAAAAAATTTTCCAACCCCTGATCTAGACCATCCAAAATCTTACCAGGAAATTGTATCTTCACTCATTGAGGAACTTGACCCAAGTAACCTCCTAGGTTTCTTTCTATCGATATATCCAGAGGGGAACAATTTTCTGTGGAAAGGCAGAACTCACCAGGAGTGGCTGAGACCCAGACAGATACATGATCCAATGACACAGTGCTCACCTGCAGGACAAAAAAGTAGTTCCGGAGTGAAGCCTAAAAGCCTACGGGTGCCAAGAAGGTAACATAAATTGCAATAGGCCTGGTAGGGACTGTGGTCAACTAGACAGCATGGACACACCATTGGGGCAGATCCAGCTGGGTTCCCTTGCAGGAATGTGGGCCCAGCGTTACCAGAACATCTGAATTTTCAGGACCTCCTGGAAACTTGTTTTTGTGAAGCCTCCTGATACTTAAATGGTGACAGCTGATTAAAATTTAAAATACAATAGGAGAAAACAACTATAACACTGTATGTCAACTATACTGGAATTAAAATCATAAAAATAGGAGGGCATCCACACAAAAACCTGCACATGAATATTCACAGGAGCCTAAATTTATAATTACCAAAATTTGGAAGCAACCCAAGATGTCCTTCGGTGGGTGAATGGATAAAGTGCAGAACGTCCATACCATGGAATATTTTTCAGCACTAAAAAGAAATGAGTGATCAAGCCATAAAAAAGACATGCAGGAAACTCAGATATATTTACTAAGTGAAAGAAGCCCGTCTTAAAAGGTTACATATTATATGATTCCAATGATATGGCATTCTGGAACAGACAAAATTATGGAGACAGTAGAAAGATCAGTGGTTGCCAAGGACTTGGAGGGAGAGAGGGATGAATAGGCAGAGCACGAAAGGTTTTCAGGGCAGTGAATCCATCCGGATAAGATTGTAATGGTGGATAAGTGTCTATACATTTGTCAGAACCCATAGAATGTACAACACCAGAGCGAACCCTAATGTAAACTATGGAGTTTGGGTGATAATGATGTGCCAACATAGGATCAATGGTTGTAACAAATCTGCCACCCTAATTATGTTGCCTATGAATGGAAGAGGAGTGAGTGTCCAAGGAAAAACTGAAGGATCACTAGCAGAATGCATGCTGGGACTCAAGAATGACAGACTTTCACTACACCAAGTTACCCAAGTTAGCGACAGCTTTTTAAATTCCCCCTTCTCGGGGCGCCTGGGTGGCGCAGTCGGTTAAGCATCCGACTTCAGCCAGGTCACGATCTCGCGGTCCGTGAGTTCGAGCCCCGCGTCAGGCTCTGGGCTGATGGCTCAGAGCCTGGAGCCTGTTTCCGATTCTGTGTCTCCCTCTCTCTCTGCCCCTCCCCCGTTCATGCTCTGTCTCTCTGTCGCAAAAATAAATAAACGTTAAAAAAAAAAAAATCCTTTAAATTCCCCCTTCTCTGCCCCCATCCCGTGTCAAAGAAGACTCTAAAACACCAGGCAAGTCATGACAAAGATGCCCTCATTTATAGTGAAGTACAAACAACTGAGATTCTTCATAAATATTGAGGGCCGTTGATGGTGGACAGCACAGTGGTGATTTCCACAGGAACAGATCAAAATGAGAGCAAAGTGATTGAACTTGGGACAGTCATTTAATGCTTCACGTTTTAGGTTGGATGCAAGTGGAACATTAATATATAACAATTATTTGGGCTGAAATCAAGTCTAGCATCTTACATTAAGAAGATTAATTAGCTAATGTTTATAAAGTACTGTGCAGATATGCCCTTTTAAAATGCTAAGTATTCTAAAAACTACATTGTAGCATTTTACTAAACGTAAAAGATCTAACATTCATCATTTCTTTGGTACAGGTTGGCAAAGATTCTTTTGGCAACGATTATATAGAAAACTTAAAACAGAATGATATTTCTACAGGTAAAATTTCATCTTTTTTAAAGTTAGTTTTTATGACTTTCCTCTGGGATCTGGTTACAAGAAAAGTTGAATATAGAATAGAATTATTAGATCCTCCTCTGGTGGCCAGAGAATTTTTATGCACAGCTCTGTCTCATCTTGCTTAAATGTCGTTTGGTTAATTCTTTCATGTACATTCCTCCAGACGGGAATAAAATGATAGGAGATTACAAACCTTCATCTCATGGAAATGTTTCTAAAGCAGGTGACAAGAGAAAACAGGTGCTACGTTCACAAAAGATATTTTGAGAAAGGTCATTGAATGTCATGGCTGGAAATGATCTTAGAAACCGCTGAAGCCGATACCATTGTTGCACAAAAGAGAAACGAAGGCCAGATCAGTTCTCAATTTGTCCAAGAGCATACAGCTAGTTGGAGCTAGAGCCAGGAGTAGAATGCAGGTCTTTGGCTCCATTTCAAGGCTTTTTGCCGCTGCCAGAGGCTGCCTGATCAACATTTCCATTTACGCTCCAGACCATAATGCTTCATGAGACACAAAGTTTATGAAGAAACACAAACAAGTGCATTGCATAGGTTTGACTTTAATCTCTCATCTGAAGCCTATCATTTCTTTCACTGAAGAAAAAAAAATGGTGGTCTAGAAAAATGCATGTGGATATGCTATGAGTAATTTGGGTGATTTGGCAGTGGCGGGGGGGTCTGCTGGGTTGTTACTAATGCAGAACGAAGGTGCGACAAAGTAAAGACTTCTGTCTTCCTTGTTGTATAGGTGATGGGTATAAATTAGCGGCAATTAGTTATTTCTTTTATCATCCCAGATGGCTAAAGGTTAAAAAGCTTTTCCAGCGATTAGTGGTGCATTGAAATCGCTAAAATAGATTGTCCGTGCCAGGCTGTATATACATGATTGTAATTTCTTTTTTCTTTTAGAATTTACATATCAGACTCAAGATGCTGCTACAGGAACTGCTTCTATAATTGTCAATAATGAAGGTACGTGTTTCGCATATTAGAGTGTCATTTCAGGAAGCAGTTCGTGTCCAGAACTAGAACCGAAGCATCAGTTTTTACCCTAATCCTATGGATTTCTTACTATGCCCACCAGTCTAAGGCCTAAAGTGTGGTCTTTCTAGTTTAAAAAATGAGTGTTTCCCTTTATTTATACTTCCCAGGTTGATCATTTAAATATAAAATTGTCCATCCAATACATATGAAGTGTTACAGTTGCCTCAAAATAATATTTATATCCTATAATGTCCCATTACCCTTCACGTGAACTCAGAATTGGTATTTGTCTCTAAAAGCAGTTAAGTATTCATCCATCATTTCAGTTATACTAGGTAAATAAATGTAAATAGATAGGTGCACAAGGAAGTTGATGAATCATATTTATAGAATATTTACTGAGCAAATGGCAGCAACTAATTACTTCCAACTTATCATTAGCATTCAATTTTGTCTGCTCTTTAAACGGCAATCAAATCTTAAAAGTCTATATATACAACCATGTCTGTCTGTCACAGGGCCTTGCGACAGTTGAAACATTTGTCTTTAAAAACAGTAACTTCCCTTTACCCTCAAGTAAAGTTTTCATAATTTCTTCCCACTATTTTAAGTATAAAAAAACCTGCATAAGATTCTTGAATTCAGAATGACCCAGCATTCCAAGGGGCACCTAGGACAGAACCTAGTGCATTGCGGGCAGTGTGCACTGTGTGAAATTAGAATTTGTCAAAGTAACATCCTTTTTTTGTTTAAAGTTTATTTACTTTGAGAGAAAGAAAGGTTGGGAGCGGGGATGGGTAGAGAGAGGGAGAGAGAGAATCCCAAGCAGGCTCCCTGCTGCTAGCCCAGAGTGCATTGTGGGGCTCAATCTCATGAACCGTGAGACCATGACCTGAGCCGAGATCAAGAGCCACTCAACCGACTGAGCCACCCAGGCCCATGCCCGGCCCCTGTCATAATTAGGTCTTTGATGTAGGATAGTTTCACACAATCATTTCTCACAGAAGATACAGAATATTCAGCTCTACTCCAGTGATCCCCAAGTTGCAATAACAATGAAAAAATGTATCCCACTTAAAGAAGATAATGTATCCCACTTAAAGAAGATAAAATTTGTCATTCTAACAATAGCCTGTGTTCATTACTTTAAGCTACGTCTTAAGTAATTATTGCCACCTGTCTTAAACCTCTCTTTTGTGTTCTAGGGATATCTTTGAGTTCCATTTCTAGCCTATCCATGGAACAAGTTCCTGCCTTTCCCATACAAAGATACAGTTTTATATGACGTATTGAGTGCCTGTTATGATAGAACTTGTCAGATTTGCGTATAGGATACGGTTATACCCTTGAGGATACAGATTGCCTTAGAGGAGCTAACACAAATACCCAGAGAGGGGACAGTCGGCTCCCATAAGTGAAGGAATGAATAGCAAGGTGAAGTCAGGAGTGCAGTCTTGACAAGTTGAGTTTGAGGCCGGAACGATCCAGCCAAATGGCAGTGTCTGTCAGACAGCTGTAGCCTAAGTCCTGCTGCTCATCAGCCAAGGCCAGGCCAGAAACATAGATTTGGGAGTCAGCAACCCAGAAGCAGCAGTTGGTGCTAGCAGAGAGAATGAGGTCACCGAAGGAGAAAAGGAAGGAGATATGTTGTCTCTCAGTGTGTGTGGGTACTTTGAATTTTTCCAGTCCCAAGACTGGGTTTATGCTGAACCATCCCCACTTTTTTAAGTCCTCCTTGTGGCCAACAGACACATCTGTGGTAAGATGATAGGCTAGCATGTGTTCTGTGTTCAGAGGTAATTTTAAGTCATGTCTATACAGGATCAGCACGAGCAGCCTGGAGTGCAAAGAAATGGCTGCTACAACTCATCTCTCTAGGTCCATGCCGTCCAAAAGAAATATAATGCAAGCCACATACATAATTTTAAGTTTTCCATGAGGCACATTTTAAGAAATAAAAAGAGGGGTGCCTGGGTGGCTCAGTCGGTTAAGCATCCAACTCTCGGTTTTGGCTCAGGTCATGGTCTCAGGGTTTCATGAGTTCAAGCCCTGCATCAGGCTCCGTGCTGACAGCACAGAGCCTGCCTGGGATTCTCTCTCGTGCTCTCTCTCTGCCCCTCCCCCACTCACGCTGTCTCTGTCTCTCTCAAAAAGTAAATAAATAAGCTTTAAAAAAAAATTAAAAGTAGGGGGCACCTGGGTGGCTCAGTCAGTTAAGTGTCCGACTTCGGCTCGGGTCATGATCTCACGGTTCGTGGGTTCAAGCCCTGTTTTGGGCTCTGCGCTGACAGCTCGGAGCCTGGAGCCTGCTTCGGATTCTGTGTCTCTTTCTCTCTGCCCCTCCCCCACTCACACTCTGTCTCTCTCTCTCAAAAATAAACATTAGAAAAAAATTTTTTTACAAAGTAAAAAGTAAAAAGAAACAGGTAAGATTAATCTTAATATACTCGCTTAACCCATTATCTCTCAAATATTATCTTTTCAACATGGAATCAAAATGTTCTTAAAAAGTAATAAGAGATTTGACCTTCTCGTCTTTGTACTCAGTCTTTAAAATCTGCTATTCATTGTACAATTGAAGCACGTGTCAATTTAGACAAGACACATTTCAAGTGCTCAACAGCCACCTGTGGCTTACACTCATGGAAAGCACAGCTCTGGAGAGTTCACTAACATAAATGCACCCCCAGCCCTTCCCCATTTAGGTGGGATTATAGACTGTGGGTCCAAGTGATGAGTATTCAAGATCCTTTACCCCTGCTTCTGTTGGATCTGGTGCTGGATAGGCCAAATATCCTCTCTCTGCCTTAGCTGGTACAGCTTTCCATCTGTTAGCTATTATAAACTATGTTTTGACCTTCAGAATCACTTTTCGGAGATACCCTAGGTTATGTACATGAACTGACTGCATACTATTGAGCCTTAGTTTTTAGTGTTAGGCAAGTTTATTCCTATTTATACACATCATTACCACATCTGTCATCTAGGATTCAGAATCTTTACCACATACATCGTACCAGCCATTTTTAAGTATGTTATATATCACTTCCCAGCTAGTATTCTTTGTATATGATAATATTAATGGGGAAATATTTTTTAGATTTTTCAAAATTATCAGAATAATATTGATCTCACAGAGCAGGAATAGTGTAAAAAAAGATACAGTAGGAATACAGAACTTCACCTAAATTGCCTAGAAATGTTAAAATTAATACTTACAACACGTTTAACATAGTGACTTTGTAAGGGATTGTAACATTGCAGAATATCATTGCTTGGCTTTGCTTGGATTTTAATATAAATATGCAGGAATTCTTTATAGGCCAGAATATCATCATAATAGTGGCCGGAGCAAATTTACTTTTGAATACTGAAGACCTGAGGGAAGCAGCCAAGGCCATCAGCAGAGCCAAAGTAATGATCTGCCAGCTAGAAGTAACTCCAGAAACTTCTTTGGAAGCCCTGACCATGGCCCACAGCAATGGAGGTGATTTTACATATTTATTCTTCTTCCTAGAAAAGCGTTTATCCGTGTTTTAATGAAAGGTAACCTTTCAAGTTAAGCAATGCAGTACTTTTCCTGTAGTAAAATATCCTCTCTCCAGCCTGTAAGATTCACGGTCTTCTTATAGTTCTTCATAAGGTTAGAAAAGCTTATAAATTGGGTACAAAATAACCTGAGTAGCATTTCTGATATCCAGCGATATAAATCTTCAATCTAGTTAGCAGAAATAATACAAGTAGCGACTAGTACCTCAGAAGCAGCCCATGGTCCCACAGTGGAATGATCGCTTTTCCGAGAAGCGAGGTCAAGCTGCGTGTCCTGTATGATGACTGCCCAGCTAGGTATATTTTGATAAACGTCTCTAGGAGCTGAAGATTCGTTCTTTCTCATTTTCGTAAAACTCCATTCCTGTTCTATAAACAACAGAAGATTATTTGTATGTAATATTCTCTATGTTGTCAAGGTCTTTTAAGTCTTTGGTTTCATTTGACCTTAGCTTTTGGAAATTTTCAAACATACAAAGGTAGGGAGAACTGCATAATGAAACCCTTCACTTGGCTTCAGCGGTTATCAACACATGGCTAACGTTGATTCATCTGCCCTCATGCTCACTCCCCCCACTCCACCCCCAGCCAAGAACAAACTCTTTAAAAATCCAAATGGTTTCTTTCTGTTTGCTTCTGTTTCACCGTTGACTTGTAGGCAAAGCATCTTCTTATTTAGACTCCATGTCTGTTCCTTGTTAGCTTTGTGGTCTTTCCAGAACCATCTGATGTTTCTGAGCCTTATCTGTCAAACACATCTAGAAATACCCCCCGACAGAATTGTTCTAATAATGAAACAAAATAAAATAAAACATGATGCCAAGCCTGGTGTCATGAATCTCAGTAAATTCCAAATGTCTTCCCCTTTTCACTTTTCTCTTTAAAGTAAAATCAGGATTGGGGTGCTGAGCCTGGGTGGCTCAGTCGGTTAAGTGTCCGACTTTGGCTCGGGTTATGATCTCGCAGTTCATGAGTTCGAGCCCCACTGTGCTGACAGCTCAGAGCCTGGGGCCTGCTTCAGATTCTGTCTCCCTCTCTGCCCCTCCCCCCCTCTCGTGCTCATTTGCTCGCTCTCTCTTTCTCTCTCTCAAAAATGAATAAATACTTTAAAAACTAAATAAATAAAGTAAAATCAGGGTCATATCCAGGGCATCTGGGTGGCTTAGCTGATTAAGCATCCAACTTCAGGTTGTGTCATGATCTCACGATTCATGGGTTCAAGCCCCACATAGGGCTCTGTGCTGTCAGCACAGAGCCTGCTTCAGATCCTCTGTCTCCCTCTCTCTCAGCCCCTCCCCTGCTCACTCTTGCTCTCTCAAAAATAAAAATATTAAAAAAAATTTTTTTAATTGAAAGTAAATTTAGGGTCATATCCTGATCTCAGCACCATTTGGTCAAAAATATATATAGCAAAATAAAAAGTAGCCACTCCAAGACAGTAGCTTCCTTTTGATATTGTGACCATAGTTCTGTGATTTACATTGACTTTTCCACATGAAACGTTCTCATCAAGATACAAAACTAAAAAGAAAAGAAGAAAAAGAACAGTAAGTGTATGTGTGTGTGTGTTTGCATAAGTGATTTCTCCCCAAAGTCTACACCATTTTAAATAGCAGTAAATGGAAAGTAAGTTACTTGAAATGATTTTTGTGGAGAATTTTTAAATGTATGTCCTGATTTAACAAATCTTTCTCTTGGCAAAACAACACGCCGTGGCAAATTCTCACTGACATTTAATGTACTTTTAATGGACTCGAAGCTGTCAGAGAGAATTCCAAGCCAAAACCCATTTGGTTGCCTTTTCTCAGGGGTGTCACAGAGAGAGTCTCGTGCCTGTGGTAAGCGTCGCCTGCACGCCACGCATCCGAATCGGGTGATGTGAACACGACGTGCCACCTCATTCGTGCTCCTGTCTTTCCTTATATAGGTCAAGGCATATCCTCACGCACCTTCTGTTCCTACCCTCCCTTGCTTCTCAGGGATCACGGTTTCTTCTGTCCTGCTCTGGTTCCCCATTACCTACCCAGTGTGTAGAGCAGAGAAGGGCACCACGGTGGAGGATCTAGAGTTATCTAGAAGGGCGGGCAGGCTGACCGCAGGATGTCATTTGGATGGGGTCCAAAACTGCTTCCTCCGTCACCTGCCTGGCAGCTGTGCCCGCTGAGGAGCTGGAGGACCCGGGGCATCAGGGACGGGCAGGGGTAGGTGACGGCAGGCCAAAGAGCACTGGCCAAGTTGGCATTTTTACTAAGAGCCAGCCTGCCTAAGGATCAATTCCACGTGGTCTTCCCCATATGGTGATTTTGGAAGGAGTAATGCCTTACCTTTGTTATGTACTGTATAGTTTATAAAGCACTTTCAAATATATCTGATCCTCAGGAAAACCTGTGACAAAGATATGGCAGGCGTTGTTCTCCCAAATTGGCGGTGAGGGGACAGACTTGGGGAGGTTAAGTACTTAGTTCAACCAAGGTCAGCGTAGAAACCCGGATTGCAGATGCCAGGACCCAAGTTCTGTGTCCTGGAGCACACTTAAATAAAGAAACTGCACATCCCGTTGATTTCAAGGAACTGAGCCTTTGTGAAGAAAAGTAAAATCCACGAACTGTAACATTGTTCATCCTGTAGCCTAAGCTCTCAGTGTTTTCACTGCTCCCGTCTCCCGGATCCCAGAGTGCTTTCTGCACTGCGTCCCTTGCGCGCTCCCACAAAACACAAACACACCAGCACACGTGCACACGTACTCCTCTATCCAGAACTCAGCTGGTCCTCGATTGGTAGTTACCAGCCAGAGCAGCTTAGCTACTATACCATGAGGTGTGTGTGTGTGTGTGTGTGTGTGTGTGTGTGTGAACTTAATGTCTTCCTTCTCACATAAAAGAGCGATACAATGAAAAGAGCACTGGTTTGGGAGTCATGAAGCTTGGCTCTGAATTCAGAATCCATCCCTTAGTAAATGGAGGACCGCATGCAAGTCTGTCAGCTCTTTGTTCTGGGCCTCACTTTCTTCCTCGGTGAAGCAAGAGAACTGGGCCTAGAGCTCTCAAGGTTGTTTAACGTCAGGACGTGTGAGCATCCTGATGGCAGAGCAGAGCGGGCAGTCTTAGAGATGCGGTGAGCACCTGGCGTCCTGTCCATCGCCCTGTGAGATCGCCTGTGTGGTCATCAGCAGTATTCCACCTGCAAGAAAGGTGGTAAAATCCCCCTCCCCCTTCTCTGTGGGTTTATCACAGCCGCCTTATCTTTGCTTCTCACAAGTAACGAGCTCTGAATTAAACACACTGTATAACTGGATTAGGGATAGTTGTTAAAATACAGAGGAAAAAGGCCCCCTTCCATCTTTGAATAGATTATCTCAGAAATCTCTTTGTGTCTTCACCAAGAAGAGAGCATTGGTCTTAAACAGCACCTGCAGCACCAGAAATGAGCCAGTGGCGTCCTCCGGCCCCCTCCTCCGTGGGTCAGGACGCTGCGAGGCAGGCCCACAGCAGAGAGCTGGTGCTGCAGCTGCTCGGGATGAAATTAGGCATGCCGGGTCTGGTCTTTACATCCATTTCAAAGCAAATGGAACATTACAGGAACAATTATAAATAATTGAGATTGTAAGATCGCCAAGATTAAATTCTAGGTAGGACACAAAATATCTTATAATGCCACTTTAGTCCTTTTCCATTTGGCAAAGCAAACTTCTTGGCCGGCCACCTTGACTTTCACAGCCACGAGCACAGAGCCCAACTTTTGAGCGTTTCTGCTGATCAACTCACAGTAAACAACCCCTAGAGGGAGGCCGCCAAGCCAGTGTTTGGTTACCCCAACCTTCTCCCAGTTTCTTTACTTAGGGTGACTTTCTTCCTATTTCTCCAGGCTAGTTGTTTTTTTCCAAAATTTTTTCATGTTTATTTTTGAGAGAGAAAGAGACAGAGTGTGAGCGGGGGAGGGGCAGAGAGGGAGATACAGAACCCGAAGCAGGCTCCAGGCTCTGAGGTGTCAACACAGAGTCCTAGGTGGGGCTCGAACTCATGAACCCCAAGATCATGACCTGAGCCAAAGTCAGACGCCTAACCAACTGAGCCACCCAGGCACCCCCAAGCTTGTTATTAAGGCCTTCTTAACTGTCTGGCTCCTGCCCTCCATGGTGACACCATGAAGCGCTTCCCCCTCGTTTTCCTGGCTTTGCACCTATGCGTTCCCCCTCACAGGGCTCACCCGTTCCTCACTGGCATCACTGTGCCAGCCACTGGCATGCTGTTAAGACAACCGGGAGCTTAGCCCGTCTATGTTGGGGGCTGTCAGTCACCCCTCCAGGTCCAAGTTACTCCATGGTACATTTTGTGTCCTCTGCTTTTGTGTGGTTCCGGGATGACATTATTTTTTCCCACCTAAACTATCACAAAGGTGCGTTCTTATTTGATTAACTACATCTACTGATTCTTCACAGTTTTTTCACCCTGGTAAAATATTTATGCTAATTCATGGTAGCACGAGCCAAAGAGAGTCCTTTGCTTTATGGTATTTTCATTTTTTCCCCTAAATTTAGTTACTAGTCAGACTCTAAGCCTACATATCCAGCCTGTTACCATCCGGCCTTGGTAAGAATGCTTTCCTTCAGCAAAATACAAGCAAATAAGATTGGATTGGTTTTTATACAATATTTATGGTCAGATCAAATTGTAGAATGTCTCATTCCAGCAACTCTTTTTATTGCTTAAAACGCAATGTAATGGTTTCTTTAAAATTTGTTTTTTATGATGGAAAACTTCAAATCTATCTGGACATACAGAGAATAGTACAGTAAACCCATATTTACTGTCGTTAAGCTTCAATAATTCTCAACACATGGCCAATCCTGTTGAATCTATACCCCAACTCACTGCTCCCCCACCTCCCCCCACCCCGCAACCTTGGAAGCAACAGCCAGACATTATATCATTTCATTTACAATGTACTTGGTTTTTGATGTAAGATATTATACATGTTTTAAGAATGATGTCTTTGCCTGGTGTATAGCAGGTAATCTGTGGTCAGATTGATGCCCATCAATCACCCTTTGGAACTAATCCCTTATTAGTTTAGTGAGTAACTTCTCAGACTTTGTTCTCTTCTGTGCAAGTGTATAAATGTAAATACGCATATAAGTATGCTTTGTTTGATTTAAAAAAGAGAGAGAGGGTCATACTATGGATTTTATTACAAAACTTCCTTTTTTTTACTCACAAATTATAGAAATCTTTCTGTGGCTAAACAGAAATCTGCTTCGTTCTTTTTAACAGCAGGAGAACATTCCATTAGAGGTTTTGTTTTTTTTTTCCTAACCAGTCCTCTCTGATAGAAGCTTAGGTTTCTTTTTGTCTTTTTCTCTTTTTCTGTTAAAAAAAGAGCTGTACATCACTGTACATCCTGAACCTCGCTGTACCTCATCTTTGCCTGCCTGTGTATTTCTGTAGGATAGGTTTGGAAAAGGAACTGCTGGGTCAGGGATCTTTTGAGATGAAATGGCACTTTTATAAGAATGGCTCAAAGCTGTTGTTCCATCCTGGTACTTCCCTCTAACCTGTGCTCAGATGCATGCAGATTTAGAGATCATAATATGTGAGCAATGCTTTTGCAATTTACCCTTCAAGGAAAATAAGGAGCAATATATTTGTTCTACAGCGGTAAAAAGTAAATGGGTGTGTTGGAATGCTGGGCGTTGAGGGCCTTTATGCATAACTGACATCTCTTAAGACCTTGCAGAAGCGACAAAACCAATGAGAGAGACTGTTGCCAGGCTACAAACTTCAACAGAAGGCAAAAGAGATGGGTGGATGGGCGGGGGTGTTGAGCTGTGTGTAAAGGACAATATAATAACAGTAATAATCCCTTACGTTTGTACAACACTCTACAGTTTACATAGGGCTTTTACACCCATTTTCTAACTTAAGCTGCACAATAACCTGTGCAAAAATATGAGCAGCCAAAAATATACCATAGGATCTCTGTGGGTGGACATTCTGAATTCTAAAATAATGAAACTGTGGGAATAGCATTAGTCTGTAGACCACTGGACGAGATCCATTGACCAAACCAAACTGTTAAGACCAAGGAAGGTATGGAAGCAAACTAGCTAGCTTTATCAGGCAGAAGTAGTGGATAGTTTCCATTAGCCACGTGCTGAGAAGCATCTCCCCAAGATAATGGAACGGATCGATGCCACAACAGCTACAGAAGAGCCACCTGAAGAACTCCTCAATGTGCACGTTCCTGTTCCTACCCCAAGAGATTCTGATGAGTGGGTTCGAGGGGGAGACCAGAAGTCATGCACTTTAATGAGCTCTCCTAGTGATGCTGATGTGCAAGGAAGTTTGTGGGTCACTGTTCTAGACGGGTCTCTGAGAAGTGCAGCTAGAGTTGTTTACTCTGTGGGTCCAATGGGGCTACTAAACACATAAGTCATTGGACCTGGGCAGAGAAAAAGAAACCAGCCAATCTAGTTGGGTACTCTGGTGGATAAGTGTTTTGATAAAGGGGAAGCTTCCTGTCATTGTGATTTCTGAAGACTTCTTTAAAAATAGTAAATAAATAATGAATGAATGAATAAATAAATAAATAAATAAATAAATAAATAAATAAATTTATTTGCCAAGTTCCACACCAGAGGCTGTTTTAAATACACTGTAAATTGGAATGGAGGCTTGTGTTGCTATAAACAGAGTCCTGGCCTAGAGAGATGACCAAATACTGGACTTAAAGCTGGAGGCCCCCACATGGGCACCCAGCTTAACCATGTCCCAGCATATGACCTTAGACTGTGACCTCATCTCTCTGAGGTTCACGTTCCTCCTCTGAAAAATGCAGAAATTCTTCTGATGCTGTATTGGCTCTGACATTCTCATTCTCCCTGTCTCTGCTATCCCTATCCATCCTTCTCTTGTAGGTCCCTAGTCTGAGCTAGCTCTCAGTCTCAGATTGAATTTCTCCTCCTTTCTCAATCAAGCTTTCCTTTATGTTCCCAGATTCTTCACTGAAGCCAAGAACGTAAGCTTCTGTGAAAATGTATGTTTGGGGAGCCTGGCTGGCTTAGTCGGTGGAGCGTGTAACTCCTGCTCTCAGGGTTGTGGATTCTAGCCCCACCTTGGGTGTAGAGATTACTTAAAAACAAAATCTTAGAAAAAAGCTTATGTTTGCATGAGTACTTGTGATATATCTGGAATACATGCATAGATGTTCAAAACCTGCATATGTACATAAACTTCCTATTTGACTATTCTTACCAGGAAATTTTTGACCTCTTCATTATTTCTTTTCTAACTTCTTTTCTTTCCTGGAAAATGGACTTAGGAACAAAAATGTTCACCAGCCTGAATGTTCACATTCATGCATGTCCTTTCAGGCCACAGCACTTAAAATTTTCTTTAATATTCTTGCGCTTTGCCACAACTTTGTAATCATCTTGACTGTAATACCGACGCTTGCCCTTGAAGCTGAAGTGTTGCAGAGTGAAAAATAGAGCAAATAGAAATAAGAAGGGGCTGGTACTAGGCCATCATAGAGACTGAGATTTTAGACTTCTACACCCGTAACTAAGTTGATTTTTCATTTCATGGGGAAAGTGGTCACACTCGGGGATTGCCTTTACCCAATGTCTGTCAACACACCGTGTTAAAAATGAGGACCACTGAAGCCCCTTTCCGTTCCTTTACAGTGAAAACATTGTTCAATCCAGCTCCTGCCATTGCTGACCTGGATCCTCGCTTCTACGCCCTCTCAGATGTGTTCTGCTGCAATGAAACTGAGGTAAGGATGGAAGGTTTTGCTCATTCCGTGAGAAACCAAAGACTTTCATACAAACGGGTAAAGCAAAGAGGCAGGACTAATCGTGTCAGTTTGATTGCATGTGAATTCTTGAGCCCCGTGAAAACACATTTTTCAGCCAACTGGGGTGTGGAGAAAAGGAAATTAGTGAATCCTAGGTGGAGAAAAAGGTTCCCTGAGTCATCTCCATAATCTGGCACTTCTCAAACCTCAGCTAATTTTAGTCCCCTCCCTACCTTCGCACTATTGGTGTTTTGTTTTCTTTTTTAATTATTCCACATTCTATGGAATAATTAGTATTAGAGTTGCCAAATTTAGTGAATAAAAATACAGGATGCCTAGTTAAATTTGAATTTCAAACAAACAGCAAATAATATACGAAATGGACTTATGCTACAAAGTTTGTTATTTATCTGAAATTCAAATTCAACTGGTCTAACGACCCTAATTAATATGCAACCCCTGGAACATTTGCTACATTCTCTTGTGAAGATGCTGTGACTGCCTTAGGGAACAGACATAGGTTCTCCATGATGCCACAAGAAGGACTTCAGGGGCCACTCTGTTACGAGAGGGCTCTCTCAGTCCATCTGAGCGTCCTAATGTATAGAGCTGAGTAAAATATCTCTCAGTTACATTCAGATCGTCCCATTCATTCTGAACCATTTTAGGAAGAAAATTTCAATATTTTTCCCTTATATAGGTCAGACAGTTTTAGACCAGAGCTCTCTCTCTCGATGTTGGGAGGCAAAGACATACTATACGATGCAACATGCAGAGAGAACGTTAGTAGTTAAAGAACTGTAATAGTAATTTTCCATGTGGTTCAGAGGCTGAATGCATGTTTCCAGGATTTCCTGACCTGCCTTTTTGTTAATTTCATCTCTCAGAACATGAAGTAAATAAAAACTAAAACAAAAACAAAAAGACTGCCGCAAGGAAACTAATTTTAACCAATCACAATAAGCTGTGCAGTATTTTTGAGCACCCATTATGGCCAGGCCTTGTGCTGGGAGGAAGGAATTGTGGGAAGTAATAACCATTTTATAGTAAGAAATTAGATTACCCTCCACGGCCAACTGGCGTAGATTTCCCTGCTAGATACTTGCAGAACACTATTCTTCAAACACTCATCACAGCTCAAATGACTTACTCAGTACTTCTGTCTTCTCCATTGAATTACTAGTCTTGTGAGGCCAGGGACATCTGTCTTATTCACTGTTGTATTCCTAAAGTAGGCACAGTAAGAGATTAACAACAATAATAATAAAAGAGAGCAGTTATAACAATATACTGTCATAGAAGTTTTGTGAATGATCACATTCTCTCAATATCTTGCTGTACTGTACCCACCCCTCCCCTACGAGATGGTGTGAGATGATAAAATGCCTGCGTGATGGGATGAAGTGAGGTCAGCAACACAGGCACCGTGACATAGCGTTAAACTGCTGTTAACCTTCCAACGATACGACAGGAGGAGGATCACCTACTGACTGCGGCTGACCATGAGTAATTAAAACCACGGAAAGTGAAACTGCAGATACAGGGAACCTGCTGTAATTATTTCTTGTCCTTCATGGTTTCTGTGCATCAGGAATTGAGACGGGGCACAGCATGGCTTGTCTCTCTCGGTGATGTCTGGGGCCTGGAAGACTCAAAGGCAGAGAGCTGGAATCATGGGAAGCCTACTTCACTCATGTCTGCTAGTTGATGCTGGCTGTTGACCAGACTTACACAAGGCCTCTCCTTGTGACCCGGGCTTCCTCACAATGTAGAAGCTGGGTTCCGAGAAACACTATCCAGAGGGAGAGGGAGGGGGAGCCCAGCAGAAGAGTTGGCTTTTATGACTTAGCTTTGGAAGTCACGCAGTATTTCTTCTGGCCCATTCTATTGACTGAGGCAGGAAACTCTGCCCTCACACTCCACCTCTCAGTAGAAGATTGCCATTGCACAGCGTGAAAAGAGCATATACACTGTGACAAATATTGATACAGTTATCTTTGGAAATTACCATCTATTACGTTGTACCTGGCACATAGTTGGCACCTAGTAAATGCTTTTTAAATGGATGAACAAATGAACAAACTCTAGTCTTTAAGAAAATTGATCTCAAACACATAATGGAAAAAAGAAAAGCTTTAAAAACCTAACATTCTTAAGGATGACGTCTTAATTTTTTTAATGTTTATTTATTTTTGAGAGAGAGAGAGAGAGTGCAAGTGAAGGAGGGGCAGAGAGAGAGGGAGACACAGAATCTGAAGCAGGCTCCAGGCTCCGAGCTGTCGGCACAGAGTCCGATGTGGGGCTCGAACTTGCAAACCACGAGATCATGACCTGAGCCAAAGTCAGATGCTGAGCCACCCAGGCGCCCCTTTATGGATGACTTCTAATCTCGATAATAATGTAAATTCATGCTTTAAGACACTCTCTCTGCTCACACACAAACCATTGATATATAAAGATACAAAGAGACAATGAAAAGGTACTCACAAGCTCAAAAACAAGATAACTCCACAAATCAGAAAGGGAGCAGAATCCTAGAGCATTCAGCCCTGCGTGTGCTATAGTTCAGTCCCAGAGGCAGGTGTAAGTGGTAGGGACCTCTAATGGGTAACGAGCACTAGAAATGTGCCACTCATGGAAGACTGCGGCAATGCCCCCTGCTCAAACCCAGAGATGCTGGGCTAAGGCTCCCTTGCTGACCAAAAATGTTAGAGGAAGCTGTTAAGCCTGCTGCCCAGGACTACAGCATATGTAAGGCTCCCAAACTGAGGAGATAGGAGGACAGAGGTACTGCCTCTGATCAGGAATGAATTAAGCCAATGCTAACGTGGTGACCGTGAATGTGACGAGATTGGCAATATCGCCAATGACAGCAGAACAGGAACTCCGTATTGCCGATATAACACCTGGCTCTGGTTTAGAGACCCTTGGGGCCTGATGGATGCAACCATAAAACCACTGGAAAGGCAGGAAGAAGCCTAGCGGGAGCTGAAGTGTGGGATTCTCCAACTCTCAGAAAGCAAAGTGAGCCTTCAGATGACAAAACATAATGCTCAAGAGTTATCCAATAAAACCAACAATCCAAGATGAATTTTCCCAGGGTGAAATCCAAATAGTGAAGCAGTGCAAAAAAGACATTAAAATAAGAATGATTGAGGGATGCCAGGTGGCTCAGTCAGTTGAGCATCCAACTCTTGAGTTCAGCTCAGGTCATGATCCCAGGGTTGTTGGGATCAAGCCCCA